ACAGTGGTGGTTTATAAAAGCTGGGTATGTAAATCATATGTATACAGAGAGAACATGGCAAACTGTCCTCCAGTTATGCCTCCCTGGGCTGGAGAGGATTCGCAGGAGCAGGCTTCAGCTGTACAGTGTTCCTGAACTATCTGAATCCTTCATTATCCAAAAGTTTCAGGTGACCCCTGAGACGTTTATATCATGCAGGTTGAACCTCAGTGATCTGTGTGTGAAATATAATGTGTGATACAAGACTTGAAACTTTGGTTCATCAGGAGGCAGATGGCAAGAGAATAGTTGGTTTCAGCAAGCAAGTCTGGAGAAGCGGGTAGTTGGGGCCTCAAGGCACTGCTAGGATCTACATAAAAATTTGGTATAAACTAGAACATTTAAAGATACAAATTGCACTTCACAAGTATCTTTGAACCAAGGTCAAGCTCTCACTGGTGGAGAAGTCACAGTGTTTATCTGAAGAGGATGAATGCCTTCAGAGTTCAGGAAATTCTACCATGCCCTACAAGCCAGGCACTGGGATGTATATAATAGTAATGTAGGCCAAGATTTTATGAAAGAGGTGGCTAAATTTAGGCTCCTAAATCCACATTTAGAAACCTAAATAAGTGGCCTGATTTGAAATTAACACATAAAGATGTGGGCTGGACAAGTTTTATTTTAAACAGCTAACACATTTTAAAAATACTTTTTAAAATATCTAATCTAGACAAGACCTTATTGTTGCAAAGAGTTCTCCGAAGGTGAACTGAAGGTAACAATGTACTGTTAACCTCAAATAATAGCACTGAGAAGTGTAAACTGTTCCATTTGTCTTAATGGTGGGTTAACACTCAACCCTAAAGATGACAATCTGAATATTGTGAAAAGGATACTGTCAACTTGAATTTTTTAACTGACTTTTTTAAAAAATTCAGCTATATAATAAAGTATGCTATAATTAGCATCACTTCAATTTTTGAGAATTTCTGTGTTCTGTTTATAAAGGTCTCTAGATTGGGCCTAAAAGCACCAACCTCAAACATGTAAGGGCTCAGACCTCTTTCCGTCACCTTTCTCTGTGCGCACACTCCTGTCTTCTCCTGTTTCAGTTTCAGCTTTGTTGCTGCTAATACTGATTAAAAACACCTTGGTGCTGAACCTGAGAGAATCCACATGAACTCTCCACGTTTTATGAGTAATGCAACAAACGGTGAAACAGACAAATCAGTAATCTTTGCTAGAGTGATGTTGGGGATTACTTCTAACAATTCTAGATACAAAATTTTCAGATGAAAATCTGATTTTACAATTGATGGTGTCCTTTTTAACCATTTCACTGCTGATCACTTTCCAGCCAGTGTACTTATCCAACAATCCCAAACCGCCTCCCTAGATGCTGAAAACTTGCACTGTGCCCTGTTGCCAAGCCTGACGCCTTCCCCCGACTGCTACAGTGCGGTAATGTATTTTCAGTACAGAAACCTGAAGCCTATTGAAAATGCAAGGGTAGTATTAATAAATGGAACCAATCAAGTTAACAAGGAATATTGTACTGACTGAATTATAGGAAAATACAATACAAACATAAATTTCATTTTTGATGCTGTTGTAAACGCTTCACTCTGTTGCACTGAAATATCACAGAATCCACAGGCCTAGCCTCATGATTTAAATCAGGTTTACCGTGGAGCACACTGGGCTTTGGCAATAGGAGTTTTCTTCATGGAGAATGCCAAAATGCTTTACAGGTTGAACCAACCAAGCCAGGCTACACACAGGAATCTCTTCACCCACCAGGAGTGTCAGTGTAAAATGAGGCAACTACTTAACAGTGAAAATGAGTCCTGATGGGAGCAAAAGAACCCTATCCAATTGAAATTGCTACTTCATCCTTCTTCAAGAATCCTCTTTTTAGAACAGTTCTAAAGGAACGTCTTCAACTAGGAGCTGTACGTTGATAGATGTAAAGGCCAGAAGAGACCATTATGGTCATCTAGTCTGGCATGCATAACACAGGCCATGAAATTTCATCCAGTGTTTCCTACAACAAGTTCTGTGGAAAGGATTTTATTCCCATGACTCATTTTCAAAAACGAGGAAATCTCTATCCCATTCCAGATCTGAGTTCTGAACAGATGCATCTGAAATTTCGATTTCATCTGGTGAGCCCAAGCCACCAGAATTCCTCCAAACATTGTAGGATTGATTCAGAGTTCTCAGCAAGACTTACTTCCAGATGCCCATTCAGCCTCTCCTCAGGAAGAATTTAAGATTGTGTGAGTTACAGCCATTACTATAATACAGGGGCGGCCAAACTTTTTGGCCTGAGGGCCACATCAGGTTTTGTAAATTGTATGGAGGGCCGGTTAGGGGAGGGGGATCGTGGCCCGGCCCCCACCTCCTATCTGCCCGCCCCCCCCCCCAGGGCTCCTGCCCCGTCTACACACCCCCGGTCCCTGTCCCCTGGACTCCCACCGCCCCATCCAACCCCTCCTCTCAATCCTGACGGTCCTCCTGGGACCCCTGCCCCATCCAACCATCCATTCTCCCTGTCCCCTGACTGCCCCCGGAACCCCTGCCGCCCCATCCACTTCTCCTTCCTGACTGCCCCCCCTGCCCCCATTCAACCCCCTGTCTCCTCCCTCCCCCAACCCCTATCCACACTCCCGCCCCCTGACCATCACCCTGAACTCCCCTGCCCTCTATCCAACCCCCCCCTCCCCCACTCCATGCCTCCTTACCGCGCTGCCTGGAGCACCGGTGGCTGGTGGCGCTAGAGCCGCACCGCCCAGCTGGAGCTGGGCCACGCTGCCGCCACCGCGCAGCATAGAGACCAGGTCAGGCCGGGCTCTGCAGCTGTGCTGCCCCATGAGCTCACAGCCCCTCTGCCCAGAGCATTGTGCCCGAGCGAGCTGAGGCTGTGGGGGAGGGGGAACAGCAGGGGAGGGGCTGGGGCTAGCCTCCCGGGCCAGGAGCTCAGGTGCCGGGCAGGACGGTCCCGCAGGCCAGATGTAGCCCGCGGGCTGTAGTTTGCCCACCTCTGCTATAATAGGATCATTCTCTGCAGTCTTGCTACAGCTCTGAGTGGGTTTACGAAGTCTTGCTGCAGTATCTGTTTATCTGACATACCAAAAATTAACACTTATCTGTCTTGGTGGCTGGCTACTTAAGGCTCAACCTCCACAGGGGGTGCATTGTGCTTTGAGGAAGTATTCATTGGAGCTCAAGATCAACAATAAAAAGCTGTTCTTCTACCCAACTCTACTTTCCACAGGAGGTGTTTTTGATTTCAAGTTGACAACTGCTTATCTTCTTCCAGGCAAGTTTTAGGAGATGCAGTAAACAAAGTACTCATATCCCAACTTAGACAACGTATGGTTCCATCTGAGGTTTCTGGGGCTAATGACCTCCTGCGCCTGTCAATCCATTTGCTAGACTCTGATTGAGACTACTAGAACAATGTCTAAGACAGGTCTACTCTTCCCAGCTAGACAGCATTCATTCAGTGATGATTATGGCCCAAGATGGACAAGACTTCTTAACAGGGGGGACAGTTCCAAAGAATGCCTGTAAGAAAGTATCTTTTTTGTTCAACCAAAAATAATTGTGCATGGGTTTGGAAAGTCTCAGAGCAGTGAAAAATCAAGGAAACCAGACCTCCCATAAATATTCTAGTTTGGAGAGAGATTCACTTGACCCTCAAGTCACTTCCTCCCCACATTCAAAACAGTATAAATCCTGGTGGAGAGCATCACACTGATGTACTACATCAGTCATCAAGGGGAGCTTTCCCATGCCTCTTTTGCAAAGAGAGAGTTCTGCTTTGAGTGGTGTATTTGTATCAGGAAGCCTGGCTGGCCATCTTCCTGGAAAAGACACTATTCTAGCAAACAGTCTCAGTAGTAGAAACATGATTCAGTACAAATGGCATGCTCCAGCTAGACTTCTTTGCTACAGAGGAAAATGAGAAATGGCCTGACAGGCCTGGCCTACACTACAATGTTGCTCCTGCTGATGTAAGTCACCCGCTACACTGACTTAATAACCCAACCTGCACAAGAGGCATAGTGCTTAGGTCAATATAGTTAGGTCAACACAATGTCAGTGTAGACCCTGCGTTGCTCACATCAGACGGTTCTGGCTGTGAGCCCCAGGTGGCTGACAGCCGGAGCCCTGCCACCCTGGGGCTTGGGCTGACGGTTTCCCACACTCAGGCCTGGTCTACACCGGGGGGAGGAGGGGGGGAATCGATCGAAGTTATGCAACTTCAGCTACGTGAATAACCATGTTAATCCCAGGATATGAAAGAGAAGTTGGTCCAATAAAAGATATGTCTATTTGTGAGACAGACAAGCTTTCGAGCCACACTGAACTCTTCTTTAAGTCTGGGAGAGGTACTCAAGAGTCACAGCTAAATGCAAGGTGGAACAGATTGTGCTACTTAAACTAAACATATTGCCCATTAACACTCTGCAGTCTTAAAACAAAAAGAGGGTGTTAGTGGGTTAGATTGTTGTAATAAACCATAAATCCAGTGTCTCTGTTCAGACCATGATTTTTAGTGTCTACCAGTTATTTAGTTTAATTTCATAACCCACTAACCCCCTCTTTCCACCTGTTCCACCTTGCATTTAGCTGTGACGCTGGGGGTACCTTTCCCAGACCTGAAGAAGAGCTTTTGGGGCTCAAAAGCTTGTCTCTCTCACCAGCAGAAGTTGGTCCAATAAAAAATATTACCTCACCCACCTTGTCTCCTTAGGAACCTGAACAAGGCAGCCTGGATTGAGTTACTGAGTTCTGATCTAGCCTTTTCCAGTGAGTGTCAGATTCTGCTAGAATCATAAGGTTTCCACATGTTGCTGTTAACGATAAACACCTTTATTCTGGTGGTGCCAAAAGGCCCCAGCCAGGAATAGGGCCTCATTGTGCTGCGCATTATACAAACATGGGTAAGAGATGGTTCCTGCACTGAAAGCCTTAGATTCTAAGCCCAAGTCTACACTGCACACCTTACAATGGCGTGGCTGTGCTATTGCAGCTGCGCCGTTGTAAGGTAAGCAGTGTAGCCACTCTTTGTTGCCAGGAGAGAGCTCGCCTGGTGACAAAATAAAACCACCCCCCATGAGGGGCAGTAACTTCATCAACAGGAGAGCAGCCCCTGCCAACAAAGCGCTGTCCACACCGGCACTTTTCGTCGTCAAAACGGTCATTGTTGTTTGTTTTTTCACATCCCTGAGCGGCAAAAGTTTTAATGAAGAAAGCGTAGTGTAGACAAAGCCTGAGATACAAGGGTAGAGGAGGGAAATATAACATGCAATAAATTCATAGACAATGAATTGGCACCATTTTGTTAGCTACGTGTTTTCTTGTGTGTTTGGGAATTTTTTTGTTTGTTTAAACTTACAGGTAGAAAGAGGATGGGGAATGGCAGGAAGTGTAACGTTAGTGCAAAGAGTAGGGGAAGGAAGGAGTAGAAAAAGACAATCAAAGCTTCTCATCTGCCTAGCTATGAGCAGCAGCCAGTGTTTTGTAGGCATCACAGCAGAAGTGAGTCTTTAGGAGGCTACGGTAGTGGCTGGTCAGACTGTATACAGAGAGAGGTCTTTGATACAAAGATTTTCTGCTAAATTTCGGAGGAGGAAAGGAAATGAGGGATAAGGGCTGTGACTTCTTCTGTGTCCTTTGTTCAAACATTTTAGATCTGGAAAGGCACATGCACAGCCCCCAACACACTGTTTTCCACATGGTTCTGAATCTGAAGCATATCCCCAAAACATTGACCTCTGCAGGTAATCAATGAGGTGAACTTCAATTACAAATTTCTTTCCCAAGTCTACAGGCAATGCTCCAGTGTCACTGCTATTGTACAGAGCTTCCCAACAGTAGCAGAGACTCTGGTCTCTTACACTCCAGCTATTCAGAAATTGGTGGGCAGCGTGTAGCTGAGAATCATGTACACCTCTACCTCAATATAACGCTGTCCTCGGGAGCCAAAAAATCTTACTGCGTAATAGGTGAAACTGTTATATCGAACTTGCTTTGATCCACCGGAGTGCGCCCCCTCCCCGGAGCACTGCTTTACCACGTTATATCTGAATTCGTGTGTTATATCGGGTCACATTATATTGAGATAGAGGTGTAGTTGCGTAGAACGTTTGAGCAGCACCAGAAGCAAGCAATGGGGATACTTCTAGTGGAGAAGGAGTAGAGTACCAGAGATGTACAAGAGATGTGTCCTCACTGTTTCCCCAACAATCAGGAGGTTCTAAAATGCAGCAGTGGGGGAAACCACTGTCTCGCTTCTAGTAGCTGAAGGGATAGGCAGGGGGCTTCAGGTTTATCAGATATCTACTAGCTAGTAGTTAATACAAGAGATGGGAGTCCCCAAGCAGGGTGCAGGGACAGCCCTTGTTAGGAACCCCAGCCCTTCTCCAGTTCCAGAAGCTGGGAGTTGGCTGCGTTTCTCACCTGGCATTATCCAAGGAAATTGTTAATGGCAGCACTATCCCCCTCATCTTTGTGTATCGCTTGCTGGTTGATTTCCTTTGATGGCTAGCAGGTTTCTGGTGAGTGTTTCAAGCCCATCTAACCTCAGTGTGCTGTGGCAACTGAATAACTTGGTAAGTACAGAGAGAGATTTTTGTCTGTAAGCAAAACAAATCTGGGACCTCACATACAGGACCCTTGTGGGACTATTTTTTTTTTTCACAGTAAACCTGGATTTGGTTTGGATTTGTTTGGGGTTGATAGAATGATGGTACGATGTTAACAATACTACACATCAATATTTATTTCTCTCCTTATTTTCCAGGGCAGGAAAACCTCCCCCTGGCTTGCATCTGGATGTAGTCAAAGGAGACAAATTAATTGAGGTATGAAAATAGATGTAATAAGCATGCAGAAGGAGATGGGATTTAACCCATCTGTTGATGGGGAATTGAATTCCATTGCTTTATTTCCCAGTCTTCCCCCTCCATGTACACCCTAAAGTGACCCTTCTCTCTCTGTGTGTGCCCCTAAGTGACCCTTTCTTCCCCCGACACACTCTTTTTATTATTTTTTTATTATAAACAGTGATCCAGCCCCCAACCTTTCACCACAGCCAGCCAGGCTTAATGTTTGTAACTTATTTTAATGAAATGCAAAGTCCCCATTGTGTACATGCACTGGGTCCCAGTCAGGAAGCTGTGCTGTGCATCCATCAGCTACATGGTGATTGGGTTTAGGAACGTAGCACTGGAAGGGACCTTCCAGATCAGCAAATCTAGTCTCTTGCTATCAGCGGTAGCCATTCATATAGTCATGTAAATAAATGTAGCATGCTCCATCTTAAAACTGGTTAGGTGGTTTGCCCCCACTACTCCTACTGAAAGGCTGTTCCAGAACCTGACTCCTTTGATGGTTAGAAACCTTCTTCTAATTTCCAACCTAATGTATTCATGGCCAGTTTGTGCCAGAATTCTCCTTTAAATTTGAGAGCTCTTCTCCATCCCTTGTGTTTACCCTTTCTCTCCAATGTATTTATAGAGAGCACCCTTATTCCCTCTAAGCCTTCATTTTGCTAGGCTTAAAAGAACTTGGCTTGTTTGTCCCTCATAAGAGAGGTTCTCCCTTCCTCTTATCATCCTAGCAGCACTTCTCTGCATCTGGTGAGTTTGAATTCATCTTTCTAGAACGTGGGTAAATCCCAAACAAAACACACTTGCGTTTTTTTTTTTTTTTTAATTATTTCCAAAACTGTTGCTTTGTGCAAAGCCTTATTTTACCAAACTTAAATATTGGGTCAGAGTTGTCTGCCTATCCCCTAAAAGTATATATGCTATTGAAGGTTTTAGTGTAGCTGGTCTCGGATTCTGACCAGCAGTCCTCCTTGTCAGAAGTGCTCCAGGAGCCTGGTTTTGTAAGCAGAAGTTCATTTAACTAATGCCTGGGGAGCCCAAATGTCCAATGCAAAGTAAGTAGTATTCAACTGATTCTGAGCTGCTTATTGCAGGGGTTTGTTACTATAGTTTGCGTGTAATATTTTTACAATAAAGGTAATGCTTCTCACTTGCCTAGAGTTCAGCAGTGGGAACAAAACCATTCAGGGAGCCAAAGGTTACAAAGTAGGGGGAGCCAAAATAATGCTGCTAAGGAAGAAATTGGAGCATTAGGAATCTGAGGCCTGGTGAAGCGAACCCGAGGAGCTGGGAGTCATTGTTCACTGGCTTGCAGTGTGCGATTATTGCAGGATCTTTGGCCAGCAAGGGAATATTGCCCCTGTCTCACAGGAGATTGGACCAGCAGATCAAATACATATTTTGGTTATGGTACCAAAAATACGATCTCTTCCCTTTTAACAATTCATGTTCTGGAACTTATTTAATTGTATTCTTCCCAAGCCACAGTCCAGTTTTAATTCACAATCTTTTTCTACTACACAACATAACCAACCCAATTTGGGGGTGGAGTGGTGAAAGAACCTAGTAAGTCTTCAGGCTTATTTTAAGCACTTTGTTGATGTATCTCCTATCACCTAGTATTGTCTGTAATATATTTTGTCTGTTTAGAATGTAAGCTCCTTGGGACAGGGACTATGTCTTGTGTGTGTTGTATAGTGCAGAGCACGACCGTAGTCAAATAGCGGATATTTAACACTTTAGTAAGTGATTCCCTCGTTGGAATTCTGAAGTGCTACTCTGATTCCCTGGCATCCCTGCTCCGATTCTTTCTTGTCTTGTAATCGCCTATCCTCCCCTTCTTCCATACGCCATATATCACAGCCATCAACTTCAGGGTGAAAAATCTTCATCTTTCAATCATCCTGCAGGGCCTATATTCCAACACTCACTGGTATGTAAAACATCTGGCTGTACCATGAATAAAGGCTGAATGTGTTGTGACATCAAGAACCTGACTTCACTGATTTTCGTTGGTCAACTTCATAGGGCTGTAAAAAGAGCAAAGATAGTGACAGGCAAAGGGGATTTCAAAAATTTTCACTTTTTCTAATCTAGTGTTATTGGTAAAGGTGAAGAAATGTTTGTTCCCAACACATGACTTTAAGTTGACTGACCTTTTTAAGGGTCATCTGTTTAGACTAGTCAAAAAGCTCTGCATGTTTTTCTGTAGTTACAGTGTTCTCTCACCTAGCCACTGCTAATCTTTACAGATTTACTAAGCACTTGATACTAACCGAGCTATCTGTATCCCAGCTCTCATGTAGAGGTCTGAGATATATCTTGTGATTGCTGGGTCTGAGAAGTGCAATATTAAAACAAGCCATGAAGTATTAAGCTCAGCGTGTAGAGGATCACACTGGGTTATAACTCAGAGGCACAGAGGAGTTTCAAGCTTGTCTACACTTAAAATGCTGCAGTGGCGCCACTGTAGCGCTTCAGTGAAGATGCTACCTACGCCAACAGGAGGGGTGTGACAGTCTATGCTATTGTGGTCACCACTTTTACAAGATTATGATATACTTTGTACAAAATTTGCCTTGAGGTATCATTTGAAAACTCTTAATCTGATGAACGTTATTATCCCATTGAAATGTGTAGAAAACTGTGAAGTTGAGATTCTGTTGTATGGTTGTTACTGAAATTTTTAAGTCTGGGTAACATCCACAAACCATTTTTCAGAGACAGACACACTGGTACCCCCAGACAGATATCAGTAAAGTCAAGTGGGCTATCACTTGCTTAAGCAGCCATTCTCCTGCAGGGGGAAGGTGTGAATATGAAATTTATATTGCATCTCAGGAATGTTTCAGCCCTCACCTCCACGAGGGACTACGTGTCATCTACACCTCAATTGGGGGTCGAGGGAGATCCTCAAAGAGGGGAGGCTGGTATGAGAGAGAGAGAGAGACAGACCTCCAACTCAGCTCTCCTCCTATCTCTCTACTCATGATATCAACGAACGCCTGACTCTGAACTGGGGGAGTGGTCCCTGGCTGAAAGGAAATCCAGCCTGTGAACTATTATAACTTGTGGTGAAAAAGTCTTGCTTTAAACTCTATTAGCTTGTTAAAGTTTAGGAAGTAGCTTGCGTTTTTATTTTCTTTTGTAACCAATCCTGACTTTTATGCATTATCACTTACAATCACTTAAAATCTTTCTGTAGTTAATAAGTTTGTTTATTTTAACCAGTATGTGTTTGGATTAAAGTGTGTGGAGAAACTCCATTTGGGATAACAAGATTGGTGCATTATCATTTTCCTTTGATGAAATGATGGACTTTCTATGAGCTTGCATTGTTGAGCAGTGTGCTGGACAGTACAAGATGCAGATTTCTGGGGGACCAAGACTGGGACAAAGAATTTGCGGGTGTTGCCCTATATGTAATTCATGAGTGACTGGTCAGAGTGCTCATGTATTTAGCTGGGAGTGAATTTACATACCGAAGACTTCATGAGCAGTCCAAGAGTGGCTGCTCTGGCAGTAAAGCAGTGTAAAAGGCACCCCAGGCTAGAGAGTTCCGGGGACCCCTCTGTTCAACAGTCCAGATTGTACCCTGGGGAATGTCACAGTGGCGCAGCGAGGAGCAGGGTATATGCACAGCTTGTCGTTCTGAGTGAAGTTTGCACTTTAAGCACTGGGGTAGCAATTTTAAGTGACATTCAAGTGTGGTGGCTGAAAACAGTCAAAGGATTACGGTTTTGTTTTCTGTTCGCTTATTTCGGGAAAGGGAAATAGGAACAGAAAAGCATAAAAAATGAGCAAAGGTGCAGCAGCTACAAAGATGGATTTGGCCAAATTGAAGTTGAAGGAGACTTATGTGCAAAGTGAGTATCAAAGTCAGAATGCTAACATTTTACACTTAGTACTGGTGTAAATGAGAAATTGCATTGACTCTCCTTGGGACTAGAAATAAGAATGAAAAATTCCTAGGTCAGTTCTTACAGTACTTTGAGCACAGTATCCTGTGGCTTCTAGGGATTTAAATACCCATGTCTGGTTCTGCTCACCCAGTAGGAGGGAGTTGGTTGAGAACGTGAGAATAAAAGGGAAACTTAGTACAAGGAAGCACCAGCTCCTTGACTCTCCCATAATAAGAAATGGGATTATAAAATGCAGCTCCACAAAGCTTTGTTCAACATCTTTATTAATGATCTGGATGATGGGATTAATTGCACCCTCAGCAAGTTCGCAGATGACACTAAGCTGGGGGGAAAGGTAGATATGCTGGAGGGTAGGGACAGGATCCAGAGTGACTAGACAAATTGGAGGATTGGGCCAAAAGAAATCTGATGAGGTTCAACAAGGACAAGTGCAGAGCCCTGCACTTAGGAAGGAAGAATCCCATGCACCCCTACAGGCTGGGGACCGACTGGCTGAGCAGCAGTTCTGCAGAAAAGGACCTGGCGATTACAGTGGACGAGAAGCTGGATATGAGTCAGCAGTGTGCCCTTGTTGCCAAGAAGGCCAACGGCATATTGGGCTGTATTAGTAGGAGAATTGCCAGCAGATCGAGGGAAGTGATTATTTCCCCCCCCTGTTCGGCACTGGTGAGGCCACACCTGGAGTATTCTGTCCAGTTTTGATTTCCCCCCCGTTACAGAAGGGATGTAGACAAATTGAAGATAGTCCAGCGGAGCGCAATGAAAATGATTAGGGGGATGGGGCACATGACTTACGAGGAGAGGCTGAGGGAACTGGGCTTATTTAGTCTGCAGAAGAGAAGAGTGAGGGGGAATTTGATAGCAGTCTTCAACTGCCTGAAGGGGGGTTTCAAAGAGGATGTAGCTAGGCTGTTCTCAGTGGTGGCAGATGACAGACCATTGCTTCTTGTTCTCAAGTTGCAGTGGGGGAGGTCTAGGTTGGATATTAGGAAACACTATTTCACTAGGAGGGTGGTGAAGCACTAGAATGGGTTACCTAGGGAGGTGGTGGAATCTCCATCCTTAGAGGTTTTTAAGGCCCGGCTTGACAAAGCCCTGGCTGGGATGATTTAGTTGGTGTTGGCCCTGCTTTGAGCAGGGGATTGGACTAGATGACCTCCTGAGGTCTCTTCCAACCCTAATATTCTATGAAAGGTATTGAATTCAGGAAAACCACCTGGGGAACTGAATCTAGTGAGTAAGACACTTTTGGAAGAAGCAATAAATCCATTGGAGTGAAAAGTTTGGGGAATCCTAAAACCTGCCATGATTAAGGTGCAGCTGACGTCAGAATTAAAAGTGCAAAGCCATATTGTCTGCTTCTTGTTAAGAAATGCTCAGATAAAATATATGAGGTCTTGAGAAAAATCTCTAGGAAATTTATTCCAGTGCTTAACCACTCTGACAGGACATTTTTCCTAATGTCCAACCTAAACCACCCTTGCTGCAATTTAAGCTCATTGCTTCTTGTCCTATCTTCAGAGGTTAAAAAGAACAATTTTTCTTGCTCCTCCTTGTAACAACCTTTTATGTACTTGAAAACTGTTATCATGTCCCCTCTCAGTCTTCTCTTCTCCAGACTAAACAAACCCAATTTTTTCAATCTTCCCTCATGGGTCATGTTTTCTAGACCTTTAATCATTTTTGTTGCTCTTCTCTGGACTTTCTCCGATTTGTCCACATCTTTCTTGAAGTGTGGCGCCCAGAACTGGACACAGTACTCCAGTTGAGGCCTAATCATCGTGGAGTAAAGCAGAAGAATTTCTTCTCGTATCTTGATTACAATACTCCATGTCCTTCATTACTTTAGAATTAATAGATCTCATCCTCTTAAACCTAGTTTTTATTCCTAGATTGTAAGAGGAAACCAAGCTTTCCTGCTTTTTCAACTCCCAATTGGCTTCTTAACTTTGAAAGAACTAATCGTTGAACTGAACTAGTTGAATAAACTGAAATGAAGAAAATCTTTGCACCTACAGAAGAGGTTACTGCCATCAAAAACTTGTTCATCACTTCAGCCAACTGTGGTTCCAGGTGCTTAGCCAGTGACTTCCACCAGTTTAGTTTCACCAAGTTATTTTAGACTTGGCAACAGAAGTACTGCTTAATTTTATTTAATTTAAATTATTTTAAAATACTATATTTTATCATTTAAATTAAAAACTTTTTTTTTTCAAATTATGAATTTGTATTCACTGTGATGTTGCCATGCAGCCCACTGCCCATTCCATCAGACTGTATGAATAGGAGCCCTAACTTGGTGCTATGGGCACAGGGAAAATGTCAGCTTTTGTTGGCTAGGGTGCTATAATGGTCCTATATGCGTCCACACAGAGGCAGAGTTGTGTGGTGTGCAGCAGCACCTTAAGTGAGTATTTCCTGGTCTTCCAGTGTTTGAGTTGGAGGTTTTGAAGTTCCATGACTTAGAAGGGCATGGGGACTTTGTGAGTCACTGTATTTGTTTAAATCTTAATCCATCCAGACCCTTATCCTCTAAATTACTTTCCCCATAAGCCACATCGCATACTTAACCGATGCACATATGTCAACCCTGAATATCAGCTGATGTTTCTGCAGTTCTAATTAAGGTTTTGTTATGCCATGAGGAAGATTAATGTGGTGGTGGCTAGTGTTTCCTTACTATCTGCAGGCAGAAGGAAGTTCCTTTTGAGTGTATGTCACTTGTCAATGGAAATACACTCTATTGGCATTAGGGCATAGTGTCTCATAACTTGGTACCTTGCTTTTTTAGGGTTTACATAGAGGGGATGTCATGCATGCCCAGCCTTAATCCAGTTTAAGCAAAGGACTTTGTTTATACAATAAGTATGGAGAGCCAGAGTAAGAAGGAAAAGCTAAGATGAGTAACAGAAGAATTGGGCTGATAGGTGGATTTGATTGTAGGTGAAAACACACTGGAGAAACCAACTAGGCCAAAGCAAGCTCTGGAGAACACAATGTAGGCACAATCCTACATAGGACTCGACATTCTGCATTGGACCCAAGGTCCATCTAACCAGTATGCGGTCTCTGACCATGCCTAGTACCATATACGTCACAGGAAGGTGTGAGAAACCCCACAGTAGGCACATGTAGGGTAATCTCTTCTTCCCCCCCCCCCCCCCGCATCCCCATCCCAATACCTAATAGTTAGATTGGTTTAAGCCCTGAAGCATAGTGTTTTATCCCTTCCAAAACTGTGTTTTGCACTGGCCTCAGGGAGGTGGACTGGATAGGACCCAGTAGGTGTCTTCCATCTCCAGTTGCTCTGATCTTATAAAGCAGAGCTTTCTTTGAATTTCCTTTGATCAGTTCAAGACAACATTGAAATGTTTTCCGACAGATTTTAATATGCTGAGACCATGTGTCACTTCATATGTCGTGCATAATCCTTTCCTTTCTCTACTAGTTTGCTAAAGATTTGTGTGATTGTGATGGGTTTTGATCTGTTTGCTTCATGTTCTAGAGTCCATGTTTTTAGGAAGATCTGGGAGATTGTATGAATCTGATAAGGTAATACTGTTATTTATTTAATATTCTACCTCAGAAACTGATCATTGATGAGAAGAAATATTATCTATTTGGGAGAAACCCTGATCTGTGCGATTTTACCATTGATCACCAGTCCTGCTCTCGGGTCCATGCTGCCTTGGTGTATCACAAACATCTTAAGAGGGTTTTCCTCATAGACCTTAACAGCAGTAAGTAACTTGGCATTTAACCAGGGAGCGGGTGTAGGGCGATTTGATAGTTCGACTGGTCGGATTTTAAAGATGTTTGAAAGAATGTTTTGATGCATGAGGATTGAGTTTGTGTTAACTTTTTATTGACTGAGAACTTGTAACACTTCCAATGCACTACATTCCAATGCTCAAACCTTCTTGAACATCCCCAGAGCTATATTCCTTTCCAGTCATATTTTGCCATGTGGGGAAACGATGGCCATCTGGGATATGAACTAACATGCTCATTCTGAGATTGACGCAAGTGGGGGGGGGGGGGGGGTTAGAGGGACTCCTTGTGTCACTCAGTGCCCCTCCCTCATTCAGCGATTGGTGACAGTGTTTTCAGACTCTGGAGTGGATCAGAGTGGTAGCATGGCAGTGAGGTTCCAGAGGGACTTGGCCTTCCCTTCAAAACTATAATAAGCTTTTTTTAATACTTCAAGTTATAAAGCTACATCTCCATTGTGTAGGGCACTTTCTCAGGATCTGGAACTCAAGGGAGCTCCAGCCTGTTCCAAGCAGCTGGATACAAGCAGGGGGTGGCTAGAAGTGTTAGAGGAAGCCTGAAACCAAAGTGTGCTTGTCATTTCTGTTTGAGTTATTAGGGGAGTGCTGACCCCTTGGTGTCTGGGAGTGAGCCCCCTGCATGGGATGTTCGGGTGATAGCGTTACTGCAATGACGTATATATCCAGCCATGGGTTTTGACCTTACGGCAATGTTCCAGTTCCCCAGTGACAGTCTGTTTTTTTCATTCTGATATTCTCCTCAGCACATGGCACGTTCTTGGGTCATATCCGTTTGGAACCTCACAAACCCCAACAGATTCCCATTGACTCCACAGTTTCATTTGGTGCCTCTACGCGGGCGTATACTCTGCGAGAGAAGCCACAGACACTGCCATCTGCGGTTAAAGGAGATGAAAAAATGGGCGGTGATGATGAGGAGCTCAAGGGCTTACTGGGCTTGCCAGAGGAGGAGACCGAGCTTGATGTGAGCACCACGAAGCATTGTGCCTCTTACTGAATAGCACTCCCCACCATTGGCTTGAGTGTCCTTGGGGCTCATTTCCCTGGTGCTGTAGATGGTTTTAGGGGTGTCTGCTGCTGGCAGGCACTCACAAGCCATCTCATGCCACTAGGATAGGCTTGCCTTCATGCTGCTTTCCAGCACCTCTTGTATAACAGCCCAGTGATGTTTCTGACAGGCACCCAGCCGTTTTCTTCCACTCCAGCCAGACCCACACGAGGTCGCTGGCAGTTCCCCAGCCCTGGTGCTTATTCACAAACAGTGCCTGCTGTAGCCCCATCACCTGCAGTCAGTTAGTGGAGGGCAGACCAGGAGGGGGACAGAGAAAGTGCAGCTGGCACTTCTGCCCCGTTCTTTCCTTGAGGTTTAAGGCTGGGGCTAAGTCATGTGCTGTGCTCTGCTGTTAACTCTCACAGCTCTCAGATGGCAGCTTCGTGCGTTATAGCTGCACTGACCATTTCCTCCCTGATTGTGTCCTTAGAACCTGACAGAGTTTAACACAGCCCACAACAAGAGAATTTCCACGCTCACCATAGAGGAAGGGAACTTGGATATTCAGAGACCAAAGAGAAAACGGAAGAACTCCAGAGTGACGTTCAGCGACGATGACGAGATCATTAATCCAGGTGAGCATGTGTATCTTGCTCCTCCATCTCCTCGCCCCCATCCCTCTGAGAGCCTGCGTGCTAATATCCCATATTTGGAGTCCTCCCCCCTCCCATGGCCAGCAAGCCAGTCAATTGAAAACACAGAAATCTGAGTTGGGGACTGGCCCTTCAGAGAAGCGCCCACATTTCCCCACATTGGTGTTATGTGCCCTCCAAGACACTTTCCAGCTGAACCGTACTGTTGTTGTCTCCTGAGAAGAGGAGTACATAAGGTCTCTCAATGCCTACAGCTCCTGAGCCACTTGCTGAGCACCCAGACGGAGCCCCTGAGGCGGTAGAGGCCAGACTTCCAACGGCTCAGAACTCACAGTTGCACCAGTTTTTCAACAGCTCAACACCATACATGCTGAGCTCTCATACTTTGGTGTCTAAATGGGAGCTGAGTGTTTTTGAAAATCTAGCCCTAGATGCTTTGAGCACCGGTAGTTGCAGGGATGGCAGGCCGGAGTTTGGATCCACAGCTCGAATTTCCCCTGCTAATCTGCATGGGCGGCTGGGGGGTGGGGTTAACGGTTAAATTCCAGTTAACGGTAAGCCTAATGCTTAAACAATTTAACCTTTTACATCCCACTTCAAGCATCAGCCAGCGTGAGTTGTTCAGGTTCCTTATTTCCAATTTGAATTTGTTTGTCTGGAAGTTGAAGCTTGGCAAAGTCAGTCTGGAAGGAAGGTGGGTAGGGTAAATTTAACCATTGGAACAACTGTAAGCTAAGCAATATCAACACACCCATCCCCAAGGGTCAACAATTCTTCCAGCTCTTCCCAGCCTGAATAAATTAGGAGCCCACTGCCACTAGATGGCCCCAGCAGTATGGAGGAGCTTAGTTTCTCTACTGTGCACATACAGCTCCTGAACTGCAACTTTCTGAAGGGAAGGTCCATGTGACACTTCCATATAGAGGGGCGCTTGCATGCCATGTGCATACTGCAGGGTACATCCTCTCTTGGAGCCTTCATACTAAAAGCCTAATCCTTCTCATGCTTACAGAGGACGTGGACCCTTCAGTTGGGCGTTTCAGAAACATGGTACAGACAGCAGTGGTCCCAGTTAAGGTACAAACTAACTTCCAAATCTAATCAAAAATCTTCATCTGTAATTTGTAATCTGTAGCGTGAATTATTGTCTTAAATATTGTGCCTTAGGGTGGTGGAATTGTCAGTGTTTTTCTTTTTGTGTTCAGCTGGATTAAAGGGAAACTGGCTGGTCTGTTCAGGTTCATAATTTAGGCAGCGTTTACAAAATTGAAGATCAATAGAAATGTCCCAAATACTTTTCTAAAAATTATTGGCTGTGTTTTTTGGTGTTATATGGTGAGAGACCTAAGAGCAGTGGTGGGCAACCTGTGGCCCATGGGCTGCATGCAGCCCATCAGGGTAATCGGCTGTCAGGCCGTGAGACAGCGTTTCCATTGACGATCTGCAGGCACGGGCGCCTGCCGCTCCCAGTGGCTGCAGGTCGCCGTTCCCGGCCAATGGGAGCCGCGGGAAGCGGCGCGGGCTGCAGGGATGTTCTGGCCACTGCTTCCCGCAGCTCCCGTTGGCCGGAAATGGCGAGCTGCAGGCGGCCATGCCTGCGGATGGTCAATGTAAACACTGTCTTGCGGCCTGACAGCCGATTACCCTGACAGGCCATAGGTTGCCCACCACTGGATTAGAAACTGGCTAGGGGGCAGAAAACAACAAATAGGAATCAATGGTCTGTTTTCTACACAAGAAAAGGTTAACAGTGGGTGTCAGAGAAAGTTCCATATTAGGACTGGTGAGGTTTGATACATTCACTTTTTCAGTGGGAAGGCAGGGAACAATGAAGTGGGCAAGTCTTCAGATGGCACCATTATGTAAGCTACTCAAGTCTAAAGAAGACTGAGGAACTTCAGAATAGCCTAACAATGTGATTGCAGACGAAATCTCTTATTGACAAGTACGAAGTAATGCGCATGGGAAGGAATACTTTGAGTTACTCATAAGATTACTTACATTCTAAATTATAACTGCTCTGTAAAAAGACCTGGGTGATCAAAAGCAAGACACACAATCTGCCACTCATAATCCAGAGACAGCCCTGTTTGTCAGTTTGTAGCCAGGTAAAGAAATAAACTTCAGAAACCATGCCCACTCAGCCATGCCTTCTGGACACATGCAGGTCGGGCAAGCAAGCTCAGGAGGCAAAGATGGGAAGCTTAGTCTATTCCATAAACTAAACCCTACCTAATGCTTCCAGCACTCAGGACTAGTCTATGCTACAGAGTTAGGTTGACGTAAGGCAGTTTACGTCAACCAAATTATGTCAGTGTGGACACTACAGCCTTGCTCCCACCGATGTAAGTGCCGTACTACACCAACATATTAACTCCACCTCCATGAGAGGCATCAGCGTAGTTAAGGCAACAGTGTCCATGTAGACACCGCATTACTTACATCAGCTGTTGGCTGTCATTCTTGTCAGTGCTGGAGCTGTGAAATTGACAAAAAGGCTGGAATGTTCCCTGCTGTGAACCCCACACCTGGCTCACAGCTCAGGTTGTCACCCCAGGGCAGGTGGGGGCACTCTCTGCTCCGAGGCTGGGCTGCTCCACCGAGCTCTCCACTCCGAGGCCGGGCTGCCCTCCAGGCTCCCAGCGGGGAGCTCCACCTGGAACTGAGAAACTGCTCTCAGCCCCCCCACACTGCCCCTGTTTAGTCGGTGCAAGCGCTCCTGGTGAGGACGTGCTCCACTGACAGAAGGAGGGTAGTGATGGACCTGAAAAACCACCATAATTAATTACTGCAGTGGCTGTGTCTCGACTTAAGTCGACTTAAGTTTGTCATGTAAACATGCCCTCAGTCTGTCCTGCACTCTGCATCAGTGAGAGCTTTGGGAGTGACTTCAATGGCAGCCCCAAAGGAAAGCCAACTGGGGTGATGGGGAAGAGGATAACCTGTCCATGTCTGTGTAACTGCTTCATCTAGGACAAAGCTATGCGTGGTGTGCATGGTGACCATTTGTGGTGTGTGAGGAGAAGGTGAAAAAATTAGCTGGGATCCATTTAAAGTGGCTTCTTGTTCTGGTCCTCCATGCTGTGAACCATTCACTAAATAGTTCTGTCTTCCCTCCAATTGCAGAAGAAACGGATGGAAAACCCAGGCTCGCTGAGCATGGATGAGTCTGTAACACGGCGCATGCAGAACTTCCCCTACGGTGGAGGATTGTATGGTGGCCTGCCTCCCACTCACAATGAGGCAGGTTCCCAATCGCATGGCATTCATGGGACAGCACTCATTGGAGGCCTGCCAATGCCCTACCCCAATCTTGCCCCAGAGGTGGACTTGACTCCTGTTGTGCCATCGACAGTTAGCATGAACCCTGCTCCCAACCCTGCCGTCTTTAACCCTGAAGCTGTGAATGAACCGAAGAAGAAGAAATATGCAAAGGAGGCTTGGCCAGGCAAGAAGCCCACCCCTTCTCTACTGATCTGAGATGGGCTTTGTTTGGGGGTGGGAGCGATGAACTTGAGAAACTGTTCCCATGCAGTATCGTCTTTTAAAGTTTGTGTCCTAACCACATGTAATATCAAGATTGGAGGAGTGAAATGTCCCTCAAAGATCTGTCTTCAAAACATTTTTATATGTCTGTAAAAAACACATCTCCCACCTCCTTTTGAATCCAAAGGCCAGCAGCCTTTTCCCTTGGCCATTACGCTCCATAAGTTAAAAGGACACTGTCAAGTAATTCAGCCCCCAAATTTATGGCCTGATCCTGCAAACACATCAACTAGGTGTAGTGCTGACTACGATGAGTAACCTTGCTCCAGCTAGACTGCTCAGGGCAGTATGCACTACCTCAAGAGTAAGTGTGCCAGGGCAGGCCTAAATTCAGTACTGAATCAGGCTTTTGTGTGTAACTTTAAAACATTACAAAATGTAATATAAATGGAATGGCTTTTATTGTTTTACCGTTACAAAATCACATAAAGGCTTTTAGTTTGGCTGTAAACATTCCTTTGTACTTGCAACCTGAAACATTGCAGCATCTGGGTAGCTCTTGAGAAGCCGGAGGTGAAATGGACAAGAAATAAAAGTGAAACTGACTAGTCAATTTCTGCTTATCACCCTCTGTTAAACACAAGAGGCAAACAGCAAAGAAATGGTTAGTGTGAACTCCTTTTTAAAAACCCTTCTGCTCTAATATTCAAGGTGTTACAAAGAACACAAACAGGGACATTTGATTTTTTTTAAAGTATGGTTTTTAATCTTTCAGCTGAAATTAAATTTTTATTGAAGAAAACACACACACACCCACCACCTTAAGATTTGAGAGAGCATACAAGGTGTCATAGGTCTGTGATTAGGAGCAGCTAGCCAGCCAACAGCCATGGGTTGGTCACATACAAACTACATGGGTTTTAATGATTAAAGAATAAAACCATGTGCAGTCTTTTGTATGTTGTCCTTTTCCCCTGCTAACAGCAGAGGGCAGGGGTTAAAGACAAGCAGCAGATTCCTGAAATGATGGTAGTTTCTCAGTGGAATGTAAAATCCTGCCTCATCTAAACAAAAGCAGTTTTCCGAGCTTGGGTACATAGCGCTCTGGTTTGACCTCTGTTTTCTTTCAGTTGAACAAAATGAGAAATTTGACTGGGAATACTCCTGCAAATCCTCATCTTTAGTTTCTAAAATTGAAATTTTACGTTCATTCAGTATTTTGCTTTAAGTAAATACATAGAGAAAGCAGTGCTACGTTGTCCTAGGCTTATTCAGGAGTCTTTATATTGTGTGATTAAAACAGTTAATCTAATTAGTCACCATATTATTTTTGGGAATTCCTTCAGAATATGTGCCCTAAAATATGATGTAACATCCCTGGCGGGTCATTAGTAGTGCATTGTGAGGAGTTACCTGGCAAACTAGTGTTGCCAAAACCTGACAGCCATCAGAGTTATGCTGCCCTGTAATGTATCAGATCTGGCCATACACCCTTGAACTGCTTTGAACAGATGTTCCAAAATCAGTGTAATTTTTGCTTCTGCAGAATGACAAATTCTATCATGTTTGTGGTATAAAAATGAGCTAGTAACTACCCCAGCCAGGATTGGTTGAAGTCCCTTATGGCCTGGCTGGTTCCCTCCCCCTCTCCACCATGTCTGGCTCAAACTACTAGATGCTGGAGCTTTTCCTGGTGCCATTTCTCCATGGTATGATTGTAACACACCATGTTTTAGGTTGTCATGCTAAATGGCTTGTGTTCCTCCTTAGTCGTTCCTATTCCAAATCCTCCAAAGTCCACTTACAGACTTCCTAGATTTTTAGTTCTTCTTCCCAGGCTGTAGGATTTTTCTCTTTCCTGCCTATCTATGTTATGAAGGCAACTCTTTAGGATGTGACCAGTTGGGGCAAGTAAAAGTTGAACAGACTTTATTTTACAAGTGACTCTTTGCAAGATCTCCCTGGGGAAGGGGAACTTTTCCTGCTTGTTGTTTGAAGCTCTTCTCCTCGTTGGGTTTGTACAAGCTCTCGTTATTTCAGAGCTCTGTGGCTATTATGGGCCAGGAAGGAGGGGATGGCATGAAACCCATGGGCTTTGTACAGAAGTTTGTACATTTGTGTAATAGGCCTTTTCACACTTTCTGTTTAGCTTTTTACCTGTAACCTTTACTACATTGTAAATTAAATGCAAATTTTGTCATTTTGGAGTTGAGTGTGTTCCTTCCCAACCTAGATCCCTGCTGCAGTTGCGAGTTTACATTGCATGTGGCATCTTGAAGGTCTTTGTCACTGCAAAATGCCCTTGTCATTGGAGGCCCTAAGTTTAGCAGACTGGCTTGTGCTCTGCCCTAAAAGTAGAGTAAGTCTGATTCCCACCCCGCCTCCTATGCCTTGTGCTCATGGCCTGCACCCAGTTGCGCAGAATGGTGTCAATCACGGATTGTCCTCAAACAGTACTTGCCCTTCTCCATTTTCTGACCCTCTGTCCAAATGAATCTTTGTTTTCCTGAAAGGGGCTCAGCTCCCAAAAGCCTGGACAATGCTGCCTTCGAGAGGCAGTCTATGGGCCAGCCTGTGAGTTTTCATTGCCATAGGACCAATAGTTTATGGGCTACGTGCCCAAAGCAGGGGACAGCGCTCACAGCTGAGGCCAGACCGCTCTGCTCCCATTGTGCAACTTGGGCTCTGAATGTCAATGTGCACCCAATGCACTGAGCGGTTTGGTGACTGCTGCTCTAAGTGGTTCTGCCAAGTCTCAATCTGATACTTGCATTTTTAGACCCTGTCTTTCCAGGAACTGTTCCTGCTTGGGAAAGGATGTGGGCGCTGTCTCCCCAGTGGCAGCAATGCAGCCAGGAATAGCTCTACAGCTAAAGCAACAGGTGCGTGTGCTCAGTACCACCAAGGTGCAGGCCCCAATTGCAAGGGCCGAGCACCTGGAAACCTGTCCTGGATTCCTTTGGAAACATGGCCCTTTGCTATTGCATCTCTGGCTAGGAATCCTTAAAGGCTGGTCCAAAGGCTGAGCAACTCGCACTCCTGCAGCCGCAGGGCAGGGAAGGAGAAAGCACTCCCGGGCTGAGGCACTGGTGCGGCTCGAGGAAGCCTGTGTGAGGCTTTGCAGGTCAGCCAGATCAAAGGGGGACACAGCGGGGAAGTGAGGATTCAGGCTGCAGCCGGAGTGGGGAAGTTGGAGATGGTTGTATGAGGGGTACCTACCAAAGGAAGGGGAGCTCTGGGTGTCAGTCTGGCAGAGGAAGAGACAGGCTCATATTTCAAAAGCAGTCAGAAGGAGCCAGGGACTTCCTCACCAGGAGGGGTGAGGAGGTTCCCAAGGCAGCCTGCACAGACCCGTGTGTTCAGCAGGGGCCAGTGTTGAGCCAAGGCCTTTGGCAGTGCTCTTGCTGCTCACTGAGCTGGCAGGTTGCAATGTAGGGAGCAAAGCAGCTGCCACTTTCATCTATCTGCCCTTGGAAAGCATGGGGCTGATTGGGAGGGAGAGGGGCAGGATCCTAGCCAGCTCACACAGTGGCGGCAGCTGTGTGTTTAGGGCCTCCCCAAAGCCAGCCTCTCCCTTGCTCCTGTGAGCCCTGGAGAAGCCCTTGGGTACATGCTGTTGGCTGGCTGACTGACTTGCTGAGCATGTGTGTGCCTCAAGCCCACCCCTGTCCATGAAGCTGCCCTGTCCCCCTCAGCAGGCCAACCACCAGCTCCCGAAAACCAGCAACCTCCCAGGGTTTCAGGCTCCAGCATCTCGCTCTGCTTTCTGCAAACCTGCTTCTGAGTTGCTCACCATGCTGGGCAGCTACAAGATGGGCAGGCAGGCACCTGCCCTCTCCCTCCAGGCTCTGCCCTGCCCATCCCCGGGCCCCTTCCTGACTTCCCCATGTCCTCACCTGTCACCCCCCCTTGACATGCTGGGGTGTCCCTGCCACACCAGCCCCCTCTGCAGCACAATTGGACTGTCTAGTCGGGCAGGGGCCGGGGGACAAGCCCTGTCCTTTCTCCAGCCCTCAGCCCAGAAAGCTGGGCGATGGGCATGTGTGGGCCGGGTCTGCTCTGACCCTATTCCCGGAGCCCTGCACGGCAGAGCCGTAACAAGGGTGAGGCGAGTGAGGCACTTGCCTCGGGCGCCTAAAGCTGAGGGGCACAGAAAGGCCCCAGAGCGTCCCTGCGGGAAGGAAAGCTGCTGCTGCCTTGGCATCAGGACGCCAGCAGGCAGCCGAGCAGCCGGCTGAGGCAGCTGCTGCACGTCAGCAGGGGGTGGGGGGAGGGCGCACACACGTGCTTCGCAACCCTCCCCTCCTCCGGCACCCACCTGGAGGAGACGCCGAGGGGGCTTCCGGTGGGAGACATACAGGATCATCTGCAGCCAGTGGACCTCACTCACCTGAGCAGCTGCTGGGGCTTCGGTGAGTGTACTGTTTGACCCTGTGATCCACCCCCCACCCCAGCCACCATTCCTGCAAACTGGGCAAGGGGCAGCCCCATCCCCAGTGAGGCTATGGCGAGAGGCAGCAGGGGAGGAAGGAAGGAAGCCACATGTAATGGCAGTCCCCTCCCCCCCCAGCACCCACCACCCCCTCCCAGAGCTCACACCCCCTCTCCAGCCCCCAAACTCTGTCCCAGAGCCTGCACCCAGCCCTCCGCACTCCCTCCCAGAGCCTGCA